GGATTACTAACACTAACACTAAATGGCAAGCTCTTTATTATGCTTAAAATATAGAAAACATCAAGCAGATCTGAGAACAAATAAACTAACATATCTCTAATTGATACTTCAAACTTCAAACTAATCCCAAAGCAATGATCAATAGTATACTTAACTATCACAATGATTCTGTAAAAATCAATAACATCAAAACACCAAATAACATTATAACAGATTCCAAACTTATTAAAGAACAAATTAAACAATATTTTAATAACTAGACTATTTACAGGCCTATTGACAATTACAAATTTAACTTTAACTAGTCAGAGAAATACCAACTTAAAACTACAACTAGATCAAACTATTACAACTTAGCTTTAGCTAAATTTTTAATAAATGAAATTTTTACAACTCTTAATCAGCTATTTAACAATAAGGTATGTAGTTCATCTAGAATTAGTTATAAAATGCTAAAACAGGCTAGTTCTACCTTTTTTTAAAAAATAACTGCTCTTTTTAACTAATGTATTCAAACTAACTATATATTCAAGCAATAAAAAGAAGATTACATCTTTTCAATATCTAAAAAACCTATTTTTAATAGAAACTTATCTAATACAAGACCTATTAGCCTAGTCAAATATATTAAAAAACTATACACCAAACTTCTTACTAATTATCTTAATCTAATATTTACTTAATATCCTATTTTATTCTCTTATAACTACATTGCCCTACCTAACAATAGTACCTCCATCTTTATATATATACTTAATAATATTATTGAGAATATTAGTTGCAATAACAAACAAATCTGGCTTTTGTCTTAAGATATAAGCAAAGCATATAATTCTGTAAACTTTGACCTTTTTACTAAGTCTTTCAAACATAATCAATGCCCCAACCTCTTATTAAAATATTCATAATCTTCTTACTAATCACCAAAATCATGTTATATCCAACCTTGGACTCACTAATTTTTATTTAGTTAAAAATGATATTGACCAAAAAAAAACTATAACTCTCTTATTTTAAAGAATCTATTATGACTCTCTAATCAATAGAATAGCATCACAATTTTCTGAATACCCTTTGTCTACATTCTGGAAAACCAACTTATACTCACCTTAAACTTAATGTTTAAAAATATCTGTATTAGTTCTAGCCTATATGAATAACACTCTTTGGATTGCAAAATCCAAAAAAGAACTTAATCTAATAACCAAAACTGTTACTTTCTTTTATCATATAGCCAATATTTAAATTAATCTAACTAAGTCTATTCTAGTTACAAATTCTTTTACCTTCTCTTTGTAGTTCTCTAGATCACTAATCTACTTTATTCCTAAAAACCAACTATTCAAGTTTCTTGAATATTGGTTTACACTCAACAACCAATATTCTCAAACCATTAAACTAATAAAAGAAGAGGCTTTTAGTCTTATTAATATAACTAATATAAAAAAAATTACTGATAAACAAATTGCTTACATTATTAATACAGGTATTATTTCAACTTTAGAATACAGACTTCATAATATAATCTTTCCTTGTACTGTATATAACTAAATCTTATTCAAATACCTTATGTAGCTAAACACAAATCTTATCTTTCTAGATCTATACAAAACAGTACAATGCTTAATCTATTTCTATACAATATACATAATATCTAGAATATTTAACTTCAATACTATATCTCTAACTATTTCCAATAAATTAATAATTCTGATCTTTTTAGTATTATAATTCAAATTAGACTTTACAGTTACAAAACAACTTATAGTCTTCTACTAGTATACTACATTACCCCAAATCTATTATAGATGGTTCTAAGAAATATTTATTAAATTTTAAAATTGCTTAACTTCTTTCTTATTTTGGATTAACTATCTCAGTTAATTCCAATCTGACTTGGCCTCATACAATTAGTAATGATAATCAATTACTAGAATCTATTTTATCATAGCATCCAAAATACCTAACCTTTAAAAAGCAATTTAGACAATCAAATATTATGTATCTTGAACAACTCTGAACTACAGATAACAGCACTTTACTTAATTAAAAACATCTCTCACCAAGATTACTATACTTACATAAAGGCAGAAAACCCTTTTAGTTCTCTTATTTAGAAGATACAATTTTAACATACTCTTATTATCGAAATATCTTATCACATTTTTAATTATCAGGCCACAATTCTTATGCTTATCATACTATCAATATATTCAAAAAACTTACTAAATCTAAACTCTGGTTACTCTTATATTACAATAATAAAATTATTATCAAAAAAATATAAAAATATTTTCTATCTTTTAACTACTACTCTATTACTTATTGAATTTCTAATATAGACTTAAACTACATATGATTTTATCTTTTATCTTTTGTTAACTACAAACAATGTACAAGATGTTATCTTAATTCTTATAGAATTAACCAAATCTGTACTGTTGAAGTCTCTGCAATTATTTTTGTATAATTTTTTAACAGAACTAACTCAAAGCACCAACTTAACCTCAATGCCAATTATTTGGACCTTATCTGCTTTACAGCTATCAAACATCTAACTTACATTTTTCTTTTACCTAACATCTCTATTATCAACTCAATTGCCTTTGAAATTTTACTCTAAATGAATTTACTAACAAACTTATATCTATTTTACACTACAATCTCTCTTATCAATAACTATCTTTCTATATTGATAAATTTGTAATTGATATTGGTACTGACCAATGCACAATAGGTATTGGTTGGATTCAAGTTGATAATAATAATCAAATTATTAATTTCTTTTCTGCTAAAATTAAATTCTGGTTTTCATTCTACAAAGCAGAACTCTTCTCAATTATTACTGTAATCTTACCTTTTTCTTAAAATTGCATTATTAATATTTTTACAGACTCTCAATTAGTAATCTCTAAATTCAACAATCTTTAACTTAAGCCAATTCACCTTAACAAGTTATTCAAATTTAATTTATGACCAATTTGACACACTCTTCTAAACATTATTAAATCATACAAATTACAAATTACTTTTCACAATGTGCAAGCTTATTCAGACAATTATCTTAATGAGCAAGCAGACTCTCTTGCTAAACAACATCTACTATTATTACTTCTTTCATTTAATTACACAAATTTTTACAACTTTTATCATATTCTGCAATGGGAACATTATTATATAGAACTTCATACAAGACATTTTATTAAACAAATCTGTAAAGCTTACATCTTTATTATATAGGCATTACAAAAATAAAATAATGAATAGTCATACTTTAATCAAGACATTGATTAAAGATTCACTTAGCTTTACTTCAATCTATTCAAAAACACTCATACAATATTACCAACTTTAGACTTAATCAACTAAAATCTTTTAAAACAAAAATTTTTTTTAATGAGTTGTCAACATATTCATTACATTATTCTATTTATTCAAGCTAATATCCAAATACTACTTGCTTCTTTTGTAACTTACCCAATTTCTATTTCCATTAGTGTATTTATATTAATTCATTTTTAGTTGATCAAATTATTTAAACCTTTACTAACCAAATTATTTCCAATAACTTGCCTGATCTTGACACTCACCAAAAATATAACTTAATTAATAAAATTCTTTATTATTCAGCTTTTAATTTTCTATATATATTATCTAATATTTACTATCCTAATCTTACTTTTAAAGAACTTATTTCAAAGTCTCTTATATTAACAATTCAAAACTCTGACATCTTATACAAAACAGTCTCTCAAGTCATTATTCTTTTTAATATTAATAAACAATTATATAAGTAATTATGAAAAACATACTGTATTCATTTCTCTAATTGAAAAAATTAACAAAACAAATCCTAATTTCAATTAATTAATCAATTTTAAAGATTATCTAATCCAATTAGAAAACATACATACTTTCAAAAAGATTATATTTACTCTTGCCTTTGTGAGCTTCCTGATCAACTATATTTTCACTCAAATACATGCTCTTTTATTGGTCAAGCAATTCACAAAATTAACATTTGGTCTATCTTATAGATCAAATATAATATATTATCAAATTATATATTAAATATCCAAATTTAGATAAGCTTTAACCACTCTAGTAGGTTTAGGTCATAAATAAACTAATCTAAGCTTTTATTCTTATATGTAATTTTTAATTTATTTGTTTTGTACAAATAATAATAACTATATAGTTAGCAATTCAATGATTAGCCCTAACTACAAGTGTTGGCCTTGACCATAGCATATATATATATAACTATTTTAAATTATTAATAAAGATACAAGCAAGACCTTACCTTAATACCAAAAAAAAAAAAATATATATATATATATAATCTACAAAAACATAAATTATATTTGTAAATAAGTCTGATTACTAATTTGAAAAAGTAAATCTGTCATAGGTTTTACCTTATTTTGCTGTGCCAAACAAAGTCTAATAATTTATTGTAAAGATGTGTATCCAATCTTTAACCTTTGATATCTTAATGAAATTTTAACTAATTTTAATAAATTTATTACTATTAGAATCACAAAAACCTACTCTACAAATTTGCTTAGAAGCTTTAAATAAATTTAATTAATATAATTTATATTACAAAAAATATTACCAAGTTTATATATAATTTTAAAATAGTACCAACTACTCTTAAAAAAAATTCATTGCCCCAATCGTTTCAACTGTACTTAAAAAATTTCGCTGACCAATCAGATTTTAAGATCAAACAACCAAAAAAATCGTTCATAACACCTATGAAACTACCTTCTGCGCATTAATAAAAATTTTCTTGCTAAAGTTTAGCATTAGAAAAGCTTTTTTTGACCTAAATTAATAGCAAAATCTAATACTAATCTAGCAACGAATTTTTTTAGGTTGTTAACGTTAGGACAGTTGATATACAGTTGATTGCTTCTGATACCAAAATTCCACGCCGCTTATATAACCTAGAAATTTTTTTTTTTTTGTAAACACAAAAAGAATTTTATAATAGAATGCTTCGTCGAGTAACTAATATTTATCGTTATCGTTTTACATCTTATACCGTATTCCGGTATTACTCTTATAATTCTTCAAGTTCAAAACAAAAATTTAACGATCATGATGTAGCATATGATTTTCGAAGCGATACGGGTCAGTAAAATGTCAAAAAAAATTAAAATTTTTTAACACTTTTTTTTTACTTTTTTCTAAAATTGATTTACATAATATAAAAAAGTGACAACACCAACACAACAGATGTTTGAAGCAATGATAAAAGCTTCAAAAGGTGTTGATGTTTATGGCGTATGTGTTCATGATTACATTATTTATACAACGATAAAGGATTATATTATGATAATATTATTTTATTTTCAGGAAGATGAATCAACCAATGATTTAGAATCTTATTTGGCAAAATTGACAGGGCATGAAGCTGCTTTATTTACGGTATCCGGAACAATGGTATCAATACACCTTCCTTTAATAATAATCTAATAGACAATTTTTCATTTCTAATCTAAATGATCACTCTATAACAAAATAAACACGAAATATATATATATATCTTGATTAAATCATAACAAATATACACGTAAGGCAAATCAATTAGCACTCCTTTCACATCTATCATATCCACCGTTTTCAATTATATGTGATTACCGTTCTCACTCTTACGCCCACGAAAGTGGTGGTATCTCATTCCACTCTCGCGCTTCGGTTACCCCTTTAATCCCAATTAACAAAACACACATAACCCTCTCTGAAATTCAATCATCCATTATCCCAGATACGGACATCCACTATGCTCCAACACGTGTAATCTCTTTAGAAAATACTTTGGGTGGTTTAATCTTTCCAATTGATGAACTTTGTAAGATCTCAAAATTTGCGAGAAATAAAGGTTTAAAAATACATTTAGATGGTGCGCGATTATGGAATGCAAGTGCTGAGACAGGAATTGAAATGAAACAATATGGGGAATTATTCGATTCTATGAGTTTATGTTTTTCAAAAGGTTTAGGCGCACCAATTGGAAGTATTATCGTTGGTAATATGGAATTTGTGAAGAGGGCTAGACATTTGAGAAAACTGTTTGGTGGTGGGTTAGTACTGTATATTAAGTAAATTAACGCGTATACATGTAAATAAATATATATATATATTTATATATTTATTTATTTATTTATGGGAACTGATATTTCCACACCCTTGCAGATCACATTTTTAAAACTTTGATCGGAGGTATCTTGATAAAATTCGATGAGCTTTTTTATTTGAATTCTATGGAATCATAGAATTCGAATAAAAAGTTCATCGAATTTCATTAGGTGGTTGTCGAGATACCTTCAATCAAAGTCATGCTCAAATTTGCTACGGCTTTTATTTTGATAGGCGATTTAAATTTTTTTTTAAATGAAATTCGATGAGCTTTTTTTTTATTTGAATTCCATGGATTTAAAGAATTCGAATAAAAAAAGTTCGTCGTCGAGATACCTTCGATCAAAGTCATGTTCAAATTTGCCGCGACTTATATTTTGATAGACGTTTTAAAATTTTCTAAAACTTTCATCGAAGATATCTCGACAACTACCTAATTGAACTTTTTTTTAAATTGAATTTTATGAATTCACAAAATTCAAAGAAAAAAAAGTTCATCGAATTTTATCAGCTGGTTGCTGAGCTACTTCCGATCAAAAGTATTAAAAATATGTGAGCTACAAGAGTGTGGAAATATCAAAAAAGATGGTGTGGAATATAAATTCCCTTATTGATTTATGTTTTTGATATTCTTGAACACTTCTTTTGGAAAAAGATGGCGTCAATCAGGTCCACTAGCCGCAGCAGCGAAACTCTCGCTCCAAACCAATTATCCAAACCAATTAAAAGAAACACATATTTTAGCACGTGAACTCGCATCAGGACTTTCGAAACATGGTATCCGGATCGTAAATCCCGTTCATACTAATATGGTATTTATTGATACAAGTGCGACGAGAATTAGTAGTACCAATACTTTAGCGGAAAAGTTGGGAGAAAATGGGATTAAAATTTTTGGAGATGCATCTACAATGACAAGATTAGTAGTGCATTATCAAATTGAGAAAAAGGCAATTGAAAGACTTGTTAATGTTGTTAAGGAAATTTGTTAAAAAAGAAATTGCTTTATTCTTTTTTTGCCAAATTTTATCGCAAATTTCAAAAAGAATCCGATAATTGGTTTGATAATAAAAAAAGTTACATTACATTATTTCTTAAACACCCAATTCAATTAATAAAACCATATACAATTAAGAAATAAGCCACGGTTAATACACAAGTAATACGTATAATGACAATGTATACTATTTATAATAAATAAATAAAGAACCCAATACAATTGTGTAACCAAAATTATTGAAACATGTGGCCAACATTATGCAGAATTATGATATTGAGAACAGATATAGAGGCTAAATTATTCGACTTGAATAGTCACCTGTAAGATGCTATATTTATCTTTCAACATACGTCTAGCCTCCGCTAATATTTGGGTGGGCATTAAAGGTTCTCGTTGAATTTCTGGAACATATGGGTAAAGCTGAAGATGTGCAGTGAGAGCTGTCTGTAATAAAAAAATAAACGTTTAAATATATTTGTGCAATAAATTGGTACAAGTAAACAAAAGAAAATGAAAAAGTGAAACAAAATTTACCCTTCCAACAGTTAGATCCCATACTATCATACAAAAATAATTAAATTATTCATACATAAAAAAACAATATGTGTGTAAAACAAAAAAAAAGACATGACATACTATGTAAATCATGAACACTCTTTACGCCATGGATATTCGCTAAATCAATCCTTACAGCTTGTGCATCAATGTGTGTCGGAGTAGCTATAAAAAAATAAAAAAATTAAATATTCATTTACATGTGTATACATAATCAATATGACGAAGACAAATACAAACCTTCCATCAAAACTCTTATACTACTTCGCACTATTCCAAATGTTGAAACCATAACAAAAACAGAAAAGATAAATGTACACAATGGATCAACCCATGATTTATCTGGGTCAATCGTAATTACTATCGATGAAATTAGAACACCAAACGATGAGAGGAGATCACCCAAAACATGAAGTATAGCTGCTTTAACATTGACATTATCACTACAATGATGGTGACCATGATGTTTGTCGTGGCTATGGTCGCGCCCTAAAACGACAAGTAAGCTAAAAATAAAAAATAAAAAAAAAGACTTGCATAAACATTGAAATTGACATAAATGTTTCTAGATATAATGTCTTTAGATATAAAGACTAAAACCTACACAATATTGACAACTACACCTATAGAAGCGACAATACACATCGTCAGCCCATTCACATTCTGTGGGTGTTGTATCCGTTCATAGGCTTCAACACATAAATATCCGGTAAGTAACCATATAAGGAGAATTGAAGCAAGAGCGCCCAAAATTTCAGCTCGATGGTAGCCATATGAATGCGCTATGAAAAGTTAAGAGAAATCAGAATAACATAGTCAATACAAACAAAAGTGAAAAAATTTTTTTGGATCAGAACGATAACTATGATAAGTAATTCTTTTTTTTTTGGCATGCAATCATTACTTGTATTTCTAATAAAAGTTGTAGAGACGATTAAAATCACTAAAATTAGATCAATAGACCTTAGTAAGTATAAAGTCTTCGAGATCATACGAAATTTCTTCGCAGATCTGCAAAGAAAATTTCATATGATTACGGAAACTTTTTACTTATATCTCAAGATTTACCGGGCCAATTCTAGCGATTTTACCATCGTTAAAAACGTAATAATCGTCTCTACAACTTTTATTAAAAGTCCAAATAACTATAATATGATGAAAAAAATATAAGTTACTTATCATAATGTTATCGTAATGGCCTTGTAAGACTCCAAAAACAATGACATTGTCTAAAATTTACTATAACCCTTATCCGGATATATAATAATAATAAAGACGAGTAATTTTACTACTTACATCTAGAAGCGGGCCTATGGGCAAGATATATGGATAAAAGTGATATAGCAAAACTTATTATATCTAAGATCAAAAGCATGTTTACTTAGGATATAATCAAAAGGTGAAATGCAAACATGTAGTTAATTAAAAGAAGCTCACCGCTTAATAAATGAAACGAATCACTCAATAGAGCTAAACTCCCAGCGATCCAACCACCAACTAGCTCCAGAACAAAAAATAACATTGATATTACTATAGCGATCCTTAATTTTCTTGCATATGGTTTTGATGCGTTAGAATGATAATCATTATCTTCATCGATGCTTATCGGACATTTTCCATTATCAGTGTCAATGGGACCGTCAAAAGAAGTATATATCAGTTGGGTAGTTGAAGCCTCTTCAGGATCATCATGATACGGCTCATATGAAAAGTCCTGTTGGGAACCATTTACAAGAGTCGAGGAAAACTCTCGCGAAGAACTAGACATAGAAGAAGAATAAGCTGGAGAGCCAGGTGGAATAGGACACACGGAAGTATTGTCGTTGTAAGATTCTACTTGGTTGATGTTATAAATACCAAGAGAGTCAGGGTTGGTCAGGTGTGGGTTATTGTTGGTAACAATTTCAAAGTCATGAATATCGTCTTCCATTTCCTTAAAAATATCTGACGTAAAAAATTTCGATTTGATAAGGCCTAGTGTTATATGGCGAAAATCAGCCCGCCAAAAATAAATGATAACCTTTAAGTCAATGAGCACGTGAAGCTACCAAATAAAAATTTGTCCCGCGTTAACTTACCTCATACGTAAATGAATACAAAAAGTTTGTAATACAGCTCTGGTGTAACCAGCAAAGAGCTACACAAAAGTACGTACGTACGTACGTTAATCCCTTACCAAGGTTAAAATTGGACATGATTTGGATTTATACGTTTAGCGATAACTTCGCCTTGTTTAATGACGATTATTGATCAAATGAATGAATATTTTGTTTATATTCGGACCTTGACCCAATTCATGTATCTCATAGTGATGCATCGCCCGGTTCTGTATCTTTCTCTACAAAAATATAAGCCACTAAAATTAAAATGTATATAGTTAAACAATACTTAAAGCGCAAATACATGCCAAAAAAAATTTCAAACTATTAAAATGATATCAATTTCGATATATTTGATCAAATTGCTTACATACGTATGTACGTATGCACATATCACTATGTAATTTACTATAATTATATGATTGTTGATTGTTTTAAAAGGGTTAGGTGTCATCAAAACTCTATCGGAAACATTTTTTTATGTGCAGTTAGCACAATTGTGTAAGCATGTCTGATAATATTCTTTATATAGTATTCGGCATATGAAATTTCTAAGTTCAACAATTCGATTCAGATTCAGATATACTCCACTAATAACAATCTTCATAGAAATTTATCTTACTTGAGATAAAACTGATTCCAGCATATATTCTTATATTCACATGAAATCCCGAGCGACAGTGAGATAACCTCATATAGGAGTTTAACGGATTGTAGGTTCTAGCTAGTCATTTTCATTTAGCTGACATCGCATAGGATTAGGATAAATGAGCTGTCGATGAAATGATTGTCGATGAAAGCAGTCCCAAATCGGTCCTAAGCAGATTAGATCATTTTTTAATAACGATCGTACTTATTTATTGAAAAATAGTGGCAAAGCTTCTCAAAAATTTCGAAATTTCCAAAATTTAAGGGTTAGAACCGGTCTTGGGACCGATTTAGAACTGATACAACCCTACTTGTTAGAGTAGGCCTGTCATTATTTCTCAATAGGTAAGTACTATTAAAATTTTGTTTTAAATAACTTAATTAGTGGCAATCCGACAGAACCGACTTGGAACTGATCCTTACTATCGCACTTTGATTAGATGAAATTGACGATCCTTAATATTGTAACAATACTATATATGTAATTTTTTTTTAACTTTAAGTAATTACGTTTCTATCTAAAATTGATAAAAAATTTTATTTTAATCCTATAAATTTATAGGATTAAAGCAAAGTTTTATCGATTGCAGATAGATAATTACCAAATTAATATTATAAAAACTTTAACTACAATGAGTGAATCGCCGGAATTGGACCTTAACTAAAGACATAAAATTTTAAGTCAAACCCTATAATTTTCTATATTTAATTGGTCAAATGAATATAACAATTACTCAATTGTACTCTAATAATTTAAAACTATACCTTAAATAATTTTAAGATATAGTGATTATTCATATAATCTTGTATCAAACTTATTTTGGTATAGTCAAAAACTTATCTGTTTTTTATTGGTTAAAGCTTTACTTAAGCATATAGACTTTTGCTAAAAAATTGACCTTATGAGTCATTGTTATATATATGAGATTTTTACTAGAAAAATCATAATAAATCTATTTTTAGAAAAAAATTCTAGCAAAGATTCTATATTATTTAATGTTTAAAAGTAAAGAGCACTATACTAAAATTATATATAAATTTAATAATATTTTTTTTGTTATATTTAATTTTATAAAAAATTATACTAAGTAAACTAATATTAATTTGTAAGAAAAGTTTATAGAACAGGTCTTTCTAATTTAATAATAGTAAAATTATTAAATTTGATTAAAAACTTAGATAATATAATTTTTTAAAAATTAAATATAAAAATTATTAATTAAATTAACTTATCCCTTAAACTGTAGACCATTTCCAGGCAAATTTGTCTGGAAAATTAACAAAAATATACTTATGATCTATATT